CCTTCTCTGAGTTTAAATTTGGAGATAGGAAAGAAAAGATTTATGAAAAATAATTCTCTTAAAACAATGCTTATTATTTCAAAGACTAAGAAATAGGATGCTTCGGCAGCACCAAGAATAATCTGTAATACTAGGCAGAGAAAACGTAAGTGAAGTGAGAGACTGATAGAATCAGGAATGCAAGTGGCCAGAGTTTGGAGCAGTGGATGGAATGGGGGAAATGGGAATAGTGAGTTCACAAGGGCTTTTTATCTTTACTCTGATGGCTATAGGGATTCAAAGTCTTCACCCTGAAGCCATGGAAACCTGTTGAAGTTTTCTTTCCTACTTTGTCAAATAATCTCCAAGAGCAATTTAGTATATTGAAGTAGAGCTATCAAGGAAGACACACCATCAATGAACACATTTATGAGTTCTGGGCAGAATGCACATTTAGAAAGCAGTACAAATGCTTCCATCTCTGGAAGTAAACACATTTCCCTGAGTAACCATTTCTTATTATGGGGACTTGCTGTAATGACAGCAGCTAAAGAGCTGAAATCCATTTAGGCAATTAGATACACTAAAGCAACATTGGAGTGGCACCAGAATGGAGCTTCTATTTCTAAATGCCTAAATGCCTCTACTTAAAAATAAGTCACTACTTAAAAATACAGTTATCATAATTATGTATAGTTGCGGATTCTAACCGCCAAAGTAGTTAAATGACACTAGTATTCCTGGATGGTCACAGTTAGCAATCAAAATAAGAACACACCTACTGGAAAGTGATGAAGCACCTATCCCACAGTTCAGTGCTTTTAGGTATATTAGTCACTAAAGACTCATGACTTCCTGAGAACACTGGAAAGCATTTTCAACAATGTGCAATAACTTGTACCTGAGTAACAGCCTCTGTATCAAGGCTTCAGACACTAACAATTAAAAATAGGGAAAAAAAACTCATCCATGATGAATTTGTATGAAATGTTTGTATTAGCAAAGAATATTTAATACATTTAATACAAAATGTTTGTATTAAAGAATAGTAATCTATTTCACATCAATTAGCAAAATCATAGTGTTTCAGCAATACTCTCTGGCTACCACAATAACTTTAATTTTAATAATTATGTTCAACAGTATTCAGAGATTCCTGGAATTTAAAGAGAAGTACTGTACATTAGGTGCCTATGTCATCATTGGCACTAGCAGCAGGGTGTTCTAATTCTTTTGAGGAACTGACAGTAAAAATTGTATTTAATTTATAAAAAGTTTTATTGGTATTATAAGAAGAGGTTTTCTCTTTTACCCACTTCACTCCTGTATCTACACCTATCTAAAGAATTTTCAGGAACTGATTAGCTAAATCTAACTCTTGCTGTGTGGTGGTGGTGGTGGTGGTGGTGGTGTGGTGGTGACATGAAAGAGTAGGAATAGTGAAAAAAAAGAATAAATATTTAGGTAATTCTAACAATTATCATTACATACTATATATATTTTGTATAGGAAACAAACTGAAACCATGAGTTTCTATGCCCCTTGAGGCATACCTTTTGTTTTGTATTTAAATAATGATATGATTTGGGTCTTTTCATTGCATTTTTTGTGTCCCTAGAAAATTTAGTCTCCAATGAGAAAGGTGTTATTTAAGGAAAACATCTTTATTAAAGTACTTTTCAATAAAGTAATACTTCCTGTTAAAAATGTTATTTAATTTTTATCTTGTAAATGTAGGTTATAAAGCTGTTTGATGACCTGGTTTGGTTTATGTAGCTAGGTATTTTGAAGTGTAAAATATATTAAAAATATATATACATTTACATATATTCTAAACTGTTTAGTCAGGCATCCTCTTCATAATTTAATTTATTTTGCTTTACTTTTTAAGGAGTCATTTATTTCAATTATAAAGACATCTGGAAGCTACAGGAAGCTAATCTAACTTTGTTGCAATCCTGATTGCTATCAGCAGTTTGCTATTTTTTACCTGAGTTTCCTGTTTATTTGTAAAGAATCTAAATGACAGCCTGGTTCACTTTTCAATTTTGTATTAGGAGCATTCACATTTCATGCTGTCTTTGAATTCAACAGATGTTTGTCTTTTGGTTGTTTATCTTCATTGAATAATAAAGTTTTGTGAGAACAGTGTACTTGTTTTATTCCATCTCAGTTGAAGTCTATATAAGATTTGTTATGTGATTATATGAAATTATATGAAGGTCACTGTAATCAAAATGTGTTATCTTGGAAGATGGTACCACTAAGCTTTCAGTTCTTAAAATTTGATATGCAATAGAGCCACTTGGAAGTGGTCCTTTAAATGCAGGTTTCAGTCATCTCTGGGAGATTGCAACTCTCAATTCCTGGTTTAGATTTTCAAAAGTCAACAAATACCTCAGGTGATTCTGATGTAGTGGATTTAGGGACCATTTTGTGAGAAACCCTATACTATTTCTCATGAAGACTAGCATATTATCAACTCACTAGATGATACTTACATTCTTAAAAGGACTGGACATCCAGAAAGGAGTTTAAAGTACTGTTATACTAGGAAGAGGTGGGTGTGATAAAGTGATGGTAGCATTGTGTTCTGGCCTAAGCAAAGTCAAAAAACGACATGCACCCTCACACGGAAAGATGATGCTGAAAACATAGTAATGGAAGAGTGAAAATAAACCTCTGCCTTAGAGTGTTTTGGCAAAGTAATATTTCTGTTAAACTCATACATGCTCACACGTACACACACACATGCCTGAAAAGCAGATGGGGTTAGATAAAGTGAGTATAAAATCTTGTTTTGTTCCCACAGTAAATAAACTCAGAAAATAGAAATCCTTATCTATAAAGATAAATTGCCCGATTTTCTGGCTACTCCCCAAACACAGAGCTCCTCTGAGATTAGATGAAGCCATATGACTGGATTAGAGCTAAGAGTGTGTAGGAAAAAATGATATACACCACTTTCAACTCCAGCTCATGAAATCCCCCCATACTCAATCTTCCATTCTGTTTCTGTCTACTGATTAAATGGAGAGGACACTGAGGAGCATCAGGAAGGTAAAGTCATAAAATGGAGAGAGCCTGGGTCCATGTCACTTGGAAGAAAATGGCATAAGTAATTTGTAATGTTGGACTAATCTGAGTGAGGCAAGGGAAACAAAAAAAAAATCTTATATGATTATACGAAGTCACTGAAATATTGAGGTTGTGATATCAGAGAGCTTAAACCTTGTAAACACTATTCTGATTTCCCTAAGCCAATATTTCAGGAAAATCTCTTTAACTGTTGTTGATAATAATTAAACAGTTGTTGAACTAGAAAAAGCTATTCTTTGAAGGATCTTTATCTTAATTATAAAAAAAAATTGTAGGTACACACAAGGAATTTCCACTACAAGAGAGATTTTTGTCAAAGGCAGGGAGGCTAGTTGCATTAAATTCTCCATTTTCCACACCGAAAATGCAAAAATGTGTTACATATAGTGCTTTACTCATTCCTTCAATCTTAAATATTCTGTACTTAAACCCTAAGATTACATCCCTGATTTGAAAAATTTATTGCTGACCTATTTATAGTTTAAAATATATGGTTAGTCAAAATATTTTTACATTTTTAGGAAGACTGAACAGTTGGAATAATTTTGAAAGATATCCAATGTTTATCAACTCTTAACATTAGTCTTACCATGACTAATTAATTCTTCCTCTACTGATCCCTGACCAAATAAAGGTTTTGTGTGGTAGGTTTATAGTATGCTCAGCTTCAACCTGTATGTTAATCAATAAAACTTCTAATTGTCAGTTCTGAGTTTGGAATATTTTGTTCTTGCACTTATTTGGGAAACCTGTTTGCTCAGTTGCTGCATTTTTCCTGCTGTGAGTCATTTAATTATGCACATTTATTTTAGTATTTGTGCTACCTCATTTTTCTTTTCATATCACTTACCTGTTTGTCAGTTTTCTACAGCCTGAAGAACCCATGAGATGTCGAGTGAACCACCATTATGAATGGTCTAAAATTTGTTTTAAAAAAATATTTGCCGTATCATGATTCAGTGTTGTTATTTTTAGATTCTGCTCTTGAAGTTTTCATGTTTGAAATGTAAAGTTTATTTTAAAGACTACGGTGATTTTCTTTTATCTGCTTTCAAATTTCTAGAAGAAACATCTAATTTTTTTTATTTTAATATATACTTTGTAATTACTTCTTCTAGCCTCCTTCTGCCCTTCACCCTTACCCAGCCAAATATATACACGTGGGGATAAGAACTGTCTGTATAGGACCGTGAGATTTGGGATTATTTTTTTTCCATAAACTCATTGTTCTTGAAGACTGTTTACCTGTAGACAATATTTTCTAATATTATCTTTTAGAAAAGTTGAACAAAGACATCTCAAACAAATGTTATTTTTATGTTAAAAATGTGATAAAGTAACAAAAGTGAAGATGTTGATTTTCAACAATATGATGTTTCAGTGTAATCTCTGAGAGATAATTGAGTTGCCAGAGCAATAACTGTTTGAAGTACAAATGCAGGAATACCTTTTGATAAATACTTTGATTGCTTCTCTTCTTAACTGATACTCTGTCATGTTCATTGTTTTTATTAGTTGTTTTTATAACAATTTAATGGCATATATATGTATCAGCAATCACAAAATGTTTTATAGCTAGGGAAACTCGCAACTTTATAATGTTTATCTTAAAAATACAAAATATATTTTAGCACTTTGACAAATCATTAAAAAAATACAATGTATTTATCAGCTGTATTCAGCATATCTCAGGATAAAAAGTCAAGATTTCCACTACGCCTGAGCATAAAATCCATTTGGCACTCACCACATTTTATTGTATTATTTACATTTCTAATTTAGTGTTAAAACTTCATCTTCTTTTTCCATTTATCATTACATATACAGCAAATACAGCAGCTATTGCATAATAGGTATCCCAAAGTTATTTCCTTGCAATGTATGATAGTGTGTGTTCTTATACTTTTAAACCTATATTCCAGTGGCTTGGACTGAATTCATCAGGATACATTCAGTACTGGAAACGCATAAGGATGGATGGAGCTTTCACAGTGATCTCCAAATGAGTAAGGGTGTCTCATTCCCAATAACAGTGTGTCATTCTAAAACATGCATTTTTTTATTGTAGAAAGAGATATATGTAAATATATTTATATATTTGAATGAAATATTACCAAAACTTACATTTTAACTATTTTTAAGTGCACAGTGCAGTGGCATTAAGTGCATTCACGTTGTTTTAGGGCCATCATCATCATCCATCCCTAGAACTATTGTTATCTTACAAGCTGAAGCTTCATACACATTAAACATAGCACATCATTCCTTTCTCCTCTAGGCACTGACAATTACCATCTAATTTCTAGCAATTTGTTTTAGGTACCTCATAAAAGTAGAATTATACAATACTTGGTTTTTTGGGCCTAAATTATTTCATTTATTATTATATCCTCAAGGTCCATCCATGTTGTACCATGTCACATAATTTCCACATTTTTAAGGTTGAAAATAATATATTGTAAATATATACCACATTTGGTTTAGCCTTTCATCAATGTTTTAGTGATGCTGCACCTATGGATACACAAATAATCTGTGTGCATCTCTGTTTTGAATTATTTTGAGTATATGCTCCAAAGTGACATTGCTGGATCATATGGAAATTCCAAATTTAATACAATTTTCTACAGTGGAGGTAACATTTTTAGATTTCCACTAGAAATGTACAAGAGTTTCAATAAAGCCACATTCTCATTAACACTTGTTATTTTTTGTTATTTTGATAACATTAAGCCTAATAGATGTTATGTGATACCTCACTGTGGTTTCGATTTGCATTTCTCTTTCCATTAGTGATATTCATTTCCTTAAAAAAAGTCTATCCAAGTTCTTTGGAGAAGTAAAGCACAAAATATACCTGAAATGATTTCAAAAAGCAAACAAAATTCTATAAATACTCAGTTTACTTAAGATAAAAAGATAATACTATTGACTATTGGCCTAAAAACTTTCTTTTTGTTAATATCCTCTCTTATTGGTTTATAATTTACACATAACTGAACATAGTTATACTTTATAAATGTCTAATGTGCTTTGCAAATTATAAGTAGCATATGACATTTCCATATGCTATTCAAATATACAATGCTATTATCTTTCATTTCCTCAAAAATTTCTCTATTTCACATTTTCATACATAAGTAGTTAAAGTAGTTATGTTACTTTCTCTGCTCATGAGTGTTAATAAAAAAACAGTGCTGAAAAATAATGAAAACATTGAAAAATCTATTTAACTTTGATAAATAATTCAAAAATAGGTGAAAGGTTATGAATTTTGCAAAAAGTATTTTACATAACATTACAAATATGAATAAAAACAAGGAGTTTTTTGCCAGGATTCTCAGTATTCAATTTAGAATATAACTTCGCATTTTTTTTCTGCACAATATAAGAGAGGAATTCACTGAAAAATCAATGATTAATTTGTTTTGGCACATACAAGATACAGATGTATAATTGTGTGACATCAGAAGATGAAAGGGTGTGGACAGAACAGTCCACGAGCAGAATTTTTTAATGTTGAAGTTAAGCTACTGTAAATTCAGATTAGAGGGTTATAACTTTAAGATGTTAAATTTAATTCCTATGGTAAATAAAATACTTATAGTCTGTACACAAAAGGAAATGAGAAGGAAATTAAAGCAGTTAGTACAAAAATCAACTAAAGGAAAAAAAAGGCAGTAATGCAGGAAATGAGAGACAAAAATTATGCCATGTAGGAAACAAATAGAAACGTGACACGAATAAGTTCCTATCATTAGTAATTGCTTTAAGTGAAAAGGATCTTAATGTTCCAGTCAAAAATAGAGATTGAAAGGATTGATTAAAAAACAAAACAAAATTCCATGATCCAACTTCATGTTTTCTACAAAAGACCTCTTTTAGATTCAAAGACACAAGTAAATTGAAAGTAAAATGTTGGGAAAACATATTTCATGTAAGTAGTATGTATGGCCATTATTCTAAGTGAGGTAACTCAGGAATTGAAAAAACAGATATCGTACGTTGTCACTTATTAGTGGGAGCTAAGCTATGGGTAATGCAAAGGCATACAGAGGTATATAGTGGACACTGGAGACTCAGAATGGGGGAAAATAGGAGTGGGTAGGAGATGAAAAACTGTCTATTGTGTACGATGTACACTACTCAGGTGATGGATACACTAAAATCTTAGATTTCATTCATGTAATTCATTCTTGTAATGGAAAACCACTTGTACCCCTAAAGCTATTGAGTTTTTTAAAATAGATTTTTTTTTTTTTTCTCTTTAGACAGAATTTGACCCAGGCTGGTGTGCAATAATGTGATCATGGCTAACTATAGCCTTGACCTCTTAAGCTCAAGTCATCCTACCTCAGCCCCCTAAGTAGCAGGAATACAGACATGTGCCATCATTACTGCCTAATTTTATTCTATTTTTGTATAGAGACAGGGTCTCATTATGTTGCCTAGGCTGATCTCAAACTCTTAGTCTCAAGTGATCCTTCCACCTCAGCCTCCCAAAGTGCTGAGATATCAAGCATGAGCCACAGCATCTGGCCTTTGTTATTTCAAAAGTAAACAAGACTGACAAACCTTTAGCTAAATTGACAGAAAAAGAACACTCAAATTAGCAAAATCAGAATTTAAAGAGAGAACATTATTTTTAATACTACAAGAACAAAAAAATTGTAGTGTGATTCAATGAACAACTATATACCAATAAATTAGATACCCTAAATGAAGTGGAAAAATTTCCAAAAACACTAAACTAAATCATGAAAATATGATTTATATAGAAAATCTGAATATATCTGTAATTATGTCAGTAACCAAAAATCTTTCAATGAAGATAATTATTGGATGTGATGGCTTCAGTGATTAATTCTAGGAAACATTTACAAGTAAAGTAACACAAATCCTTCTCAAACTCTTCCAAAAAAATTAAAGATCTAAGAATACTTCCTTACTCAATCTCTGAGGCCAGCATTGCTCTGATATTAAAGCCAGACACGAAGACACTTTAAGAAAACAGAACAGACCAATGTCCCTTATCAACATTAATGCAAAGTTTCTAAAGAAAATATTAGCAAATGGAATTCAGCAGCATTATTAAAAGAATTATACACCATAACCAATTGGAAATTATTTCTGGAATGCAAGGATGGTTTAACATTAAAATCAATGCAATAAACTTCTTTAGCAGAATGAGCGGGAAAATGATGCCAGCACGATCACATTTATTGATGGAGAAAAAGCACTGAACAGAATCCAACCCTCTTTCATGATAAAATTACTCAACAAATGAGGACTATAAAAAATTATCGCAACATAATGCAGACCATATATGAAAACACATAATGAACATTATATTGAATATTGAATGACTGAAAGTTGTTCCTCTAAGATCAGGAATAAGGCAAGGAATCCTACTCTTAATAGGTCTACTCAACAAAGAATTGAAAGACCTAGCTAGAGCAATTAGGCAAGAAAACAATAAATGTCATCCAAATTTAAAAGTAAGATATAAAATTATCTCTCTTTGCAGCTTGGATGATATGATATGTACAAAACCCTGGAGATTATAGAAAATTACTTAGAGCTTATAAACAAAATTGTAATATAGCAGAATACAAAATAAGCACACAAAAATTAGTTATATTTATACACGCCAACACTGATAAATCTAAAAAATAAGAAAAAACTAATTTACAATAGCATAAGATTCAAATACTTCAGAATTGGCTTAAAAATGAATTAAAAGAATCATAAAAAATATTGCTGAAACAAATGAAAGAATACATCAGTATATGGGAAATTATTCATGTTCATGGATCAGAAGATCTAATATTTTCAAGATGTCAATATTATGAAAAGGAATCATATTTGGTTCATTCTTTTTAAAATCACAGTGCCTTTCTTTTTACAGAAATAGAAAAATCTATCCTAAAATTTGTATGCAGTCTTAATGGACTCCAAATAGAAAAAGCAGTCTTGAAAAAGAACAAAGTCAAAGGATTCACACTTCCTTTGTTAAAAAAATTACTACAAAGCTACAGTAATCAAAAGAGTGTTTTTCTGGCATAGAGACGGACATCTTAACCAATAGAAGAGACTAGAGACTAGAAAATGAAACATTGTATATATGTTTAATAATTTTCAACAATTGTGTCAAGACCATACTATGAGGGAAAGGACAGTCTTTTAAAAAAATATATTACTAGGCTAACTTGATATCTATATGCTACAGAATGAAACCAGAACTTTACCTTGCATCATATAAAAAATTAACTCAATATGAATCAAAGCCCTAAATGTTAAAGCTAAGACTATAAAACTCTTAGAAGACAATATAAGGAAAAAGCTCCATGACTTCAGATTGGAATTTTTTTTTCAGAAGACACCGAAAGCAAAGACAACAAAAGAAAAATATAAACCAGTTGAAATTTATTTTAAAAAATCAATCTTAACAACTATCCATATACAAAATTACCTTCACAAGAGCTACGGAAAACAGGTAAGAGATCACAGAACCTGCTGGTAGCACAACAGTAAGAAAAGACAAATTGTAGTTTCATAGGAAAAACAGTTTTACATTATTTACATCACCCCTCTCTCAATCTCAGTTGGCACAGTGTGGAGAGAGATACCATTCCTTTGAAAGGAAATAGAGAAGTGAGCACAGGACTTTGCCTTGTACACCAACATCAGGTCCCTTACAGTAAAAGCTAGGAATTAGTATACTTCCAGAACCCAGGCTCCAGGTTAGTACCCATAGACTAAGCCTCTAGGTTTGCCCTGGAACCAGGCTTCAATGCTGCACCACTGCCAGCTGACTTCAGAGGTCCTGCGCTCCACACAGCACTCAGTGGCAAATGATACTCAGTGAACCTTGGGCTGCTTGTGTGCCCCAGTGCCAGGTTGGTCAGAGCAAGTCCTGGGCTTTAGGTCTATGCTAGGTAGCCTGCTTAGAATCTCTGCGTGGGCTGACTGTTGTAGGGTTTTCCCAGACAAAACTAATCTGTGAAGTCCAGAATAAATACGTACTCCTTCAAATGTGGAGACATAGATTCATGGCCACAGGGATCAAGAACAATCATGGAAACATAAAATCACCAAAGGGAGAAAATAAAATATCAATGACTAACTCTAAAGAAATGAGTATATATCTGACAAAAAATTTTTAAGTAGGTATTTTAAGGAATCTCAGAGAACTTCAAGAAGAGAAATAATTCAGTCAAATGAAGAAAACAATAAGTAACTAGAATAATAAATTTAATGGAGAGAGTGGAAACAATAAAAATAGATAAAATAGAAATCCTGGAGCTGAAAGATACAATAAACGAAATGAAAAATGCAATAGAAAAAAAAACATGAAGAGCAAAATAGATTAAGCAGAAGAGTCTGAACCCAAAGACAAGTTATTTGAAAATACACAGAGGAGAAAGAAAAAAGAATGAAAAGTAATGAAGAAATTATAAGATTTACAGGACAACATCAAAAATTTATTTTTAGTAATAGGAGTTTGAAAAAGAAGAGAAAGATAGAGGAGTAGAAATCTTATTTTATTTGAAGAAACAGAAGCAGGAAACTTTCCAAACCTGGAGGAAGATGAAAGTATCCATGTAGACAAAAGTGAAAGGGCTCCAGTTAGATTTAATCTGAATAAGACTATTTGAAGATATTATATCTAACTGTCAAAAATTACAAATAGAGGACTCTGAAAGCAGCAATAGAAAAAAGCAAATAACAAAAAGAAGTGTCAATATAGCCAGTAGCAAAATTATCAGCAAAAACATTACAGTCCAGGAAAGCATAGTGTGATATACTAAGTTTTGAGGGGAAAAATACTTCCAATCGAAAGCCCAGAAGTATTATTTAGAACAAAACTGTCCTTCAGAAATGAATGAGAAATAATTACTTTACCAAAGAAAAGCTGAGGACTTTATCACCACCAGACCTGTCTTACAAGAAATATTAAGGGGAATTCTTAATATAGAAAATAATTACTATACCCAAAAGAGAAAACACCTTGATAATTAAGGAGTTAGAGAATGGTTCTGTAAGGATAAATGTCAGAGAGTTGTGCTGCTTCCAGATTTCAGAGTCTGCTGAAGTGTTACAGAAAAGCTGGGCTATTTAATATGGAAGGCAAGTACATCTACCATTTATATATCTTCTTGGAAATAGGATTATTTCTTAATATGCTTTAGAGCAAAATTTGCTTGTTTCATATTTCATATATTTTCCTAAAGTACTAGAGGTGAAATTAAGTAACCTCAGATGATTTCATAGCATCAATTGTCTTTAGTAAATCCCTCTGAAGAATTTTTGCACAAATAATTAATTTCAAAGGTGATTCTAGGAACTTTTGGATGTGAGTTTGAAATAAGAATGGAAAGGAAGAAAGCCAACACACAGTATTTAATCAGTATGTTACAGTTGTAGGAAGTCAGCTACGCACCCACTCTGATTTCTGGGTGATGACATACAACACATTTCAAAGTTGTTCAGAGTGGTAAGAAAGCTGAGATGAACAGTCAACATTTTCCAGTTGTCATACATTGAGGTTGCTTCCAGAAGTTTAAACTTCTGGTACCTGCACTGTACCATGTATGTGAGTAAGATATGTTCTTCCAGCCAGGAAAAAAAATACACACACACATACATATATATAATACACACATATACATAGCATCATATTATATATGTGTGTGTGTGTGTGTGTGTGTGTATCAGAGTTAGGAACAAGATAAATTTGTGCCAAAAAAAATTGAGAGGGATGCCAACAGTTTTTTCTACAGCTTATCGCTTGCATTCTTCAAATCCATCTGTATCTCACATTATGTTTCTCATGTCTTTTCACTTATTTTACAATATCACAGCAAGTCACAATTTTACATACATATTTACATCAAGGGAGTTTGTGGTATAAGATATAGGGAGCACTGCATTTTTTTCTGATTACTTAAATTTTTTTTATTTTGAAATAATTGTAAATATACATGCAATTTCAAGAAATCCCATATAATCTTCACACAATTTTTCCCAACTGCAATTAACCTTATATGTGTAATTTGTAATTATTTTCCCCCTTTAAACCACAAAGTTTAGATTTTCCTCAACCTCTGTCAGCATATCTGGTGATTTAGATTTCTTGCTCAGCAGAATAAAAATATTTAACCCTGAGGTATATTAACACTAAGGTACTGTGTTCTTTTCAGATCCTTCGTATATATATCTATACTGTTTCTTTACTTTCAACGCTTTCTACTCTAGCTGTAGGAAGAGGAAATAAAGTTACATTAAAATGTTACCAAGTAGACCTTCTGACTTATAAAACATGCACTGAGTTAAAAGGCTTGCCTAAGCTTCTTAATTTTTTCTTTTAGGACTACTTTGATTTATACTAACCTTTGGCTTAAAATCCTATAAGCGCTAGAGATACTGTAAAAGCTGATGCAGGCTCTTTTACCATACCAGCTATGGTGTGAATGCTTAGTCCCTCCAAATTTTTGTTAAACTTAATCCTTAATGCAAGAGTATTAAGTGGTAGGGCCTTTATGAGTTAATTAGATCATGAGGGTGCTGCCCTCATGAATGGGATTAGTGCCTTATAGAAGGGCTCAAGGGAGCCTGTTTGGCACTGTTGACCTTCCACTATGTGAAAGCACAACAACAAAGTTCTGTCTTGAAGTAGAGAGCAAGCTCTCAGCAAATGCCAAATCTGCTAGCACTTTGATATTGGATTTCCAAGGCTCCAGAACTCTGAGAAATAAATTTCTATTATTTATAAATTGCCCAGTTCTACATATTTTATCATGGCAGCACAGACAGACTAAACAGAATATAGTTCTGAGAAATGGGGTGGTGCTATAACATATCTAGAAATATGGAAGTGGCTTTGGAACTGAGTAATGGCAGGGGATGGAAAAGTTTAGAGATGCATGCTAGATTAAGCCTATATTGCCATAAATGAAATGTTAAGGATGATTCTGGTGAAGAAGGCTCAGAAAAGGAGAGCTATAGAAATAGCCTCAGTCTTCTTAGAGATTACATAAGTGTTTGTAAAAAGAATGTTTGTAGAAATATGGATGGTAAAGGCCATTCAGATGAAGTCTGAGATCAAAATAAGGAATGTTATTAGAAACAGGAGATCATCCTTGCTATTAAGCAATGAAGAACTTGGAAGAATTATGTTTATGTCCTAGTGTTTCATGGAAAGAAGAACATCTGAGCCATGAAATAAAATATTGGGCAGAAGAAAGCTCTATGCAAAGTCTTGAAAGTGTGGCTTGGCTTCTTTTAAATGCTTATAGTGAAATGTGAGAAGAGAGAATGAAGTAAAGGCAGAATATATAATTAAAACAGAAGTAGAATTTTAAAATTTTGAAAATTCTCAGACTGGTTATGTAATAGGGAATGGAAAAGCATGTTCAGTTGAGAATACCAGAATGTGGTGAAGCAATCATTTGGGATTAGTGGATTAATATGTATAGGCAGAATCCGAGTGCTATTCATTAAGATAATGCAAAAATGACTCCCAAGGTATTTTGGAGATTGTCAGTGCTGCTCTTAATATCACAGGTCCAGAGTGTTAAAATCTGGGGAACAGAACTATGTCAAAAGAAGAGCCTTTTGTACTAGAGGGATCATGGAACTACTGTCCAGTGCTACCTCAAGTTTCTGCTCCCCATATTCTGGTGCAGCACTGCTTTGCTACCCCAGGTGTGACTCAAGTGGACCCAGGTACCTTGATCTTGAAATTCCCAGCCACCAGATATGTGAGGAATAAGTGTCTATTATTTATACATTATTATTATGTTTACTGTTATAAATGTCTATTATATAGTATATTTATAGTTAATTATTTACTTTATAAATTACCCAGCCTAGGATATTTTATCACAGCAACACAAATGGCCACCCAACGACAATGCTTTTTCTCAGTTTACTATAGGTGTATCTTAGAAATTTATTGTTACAACATGTCATGGGTTAATACCTGGGGACTTATCATTGTCCAGGCAATGATAATTCTGTTAGCATGTTGTTGAAAGATGCCATATCCCCCACCTAAAAATCTGCTTTTTAGGACCATGTGTGATGCCAGCTGTCTTAGTATAGGTCCCAACAAAAGAGACCCTGATACATAAATTTGAGTTCAAGTAGTTTATTTTGGGGGCAATCTCAAATAACACTAAGAAAATGGGTATTTTGGACAGGGTATAAATACCCTGAGCAAAAATGGGTATAAATACATGTGAGCATGCCTCCTCCATGGGGTAACTGATTCTAAAACCTTTCTGAAACTCAGTGGAAACAGTGTATAACAGAATTATTCTATCTGAAGCATAAGGAATCTGGGTCATCTTTGGTTGCTTTCAAGGGCATCATCATTTTAGCAACTTGAAACTGCTTTGCATATGTGCCAAGAAAACTTCCTTGGGCTGAAAGAGCCATCACTCATCATAGAACTACAGGTCCTTGTGTTGAGAAATAATTGATATGTATAGAAAAGGTATGAGTACGTATGGTCATATGGTTAATTTTAGTACTATCACACCACTCTACACAAATTAATAAAAACTCACTGGGATGAAAAGTCATTTATTTTAAATAAAACTAAGAAGAGGGTTTACTTTATTTTACATCCTTTATGCATTCCAGTGCATTAACCAGCACGATACTTTTGAGGTAGATTGAGATTTCTAACATCACTAAAGGAAACAATAATGCTAAGTTCACCAAGCACAAGTAGCTGAGTATAGATTTTCACCAAAATTTATTTGAAACCAATGGCGAGAGTACCTCAGATGGGACCCAGGCTATTGCTAAGGCTATTGTTCATTATGTGATATTAAATTATGCAATTATCAGTCTCTTTTGTGAAAACTCTAAACTTCACAAATAACTAGGTAAAAATAATTGTTTTATGTTCAATTTTGTAGATGGAAAATCTTCAGTCATTTAATCTTAGCTGGTGACTGGCAATACAAGGAAATGGATCCCGGTAAAAAAAAAAAAAAAAAAAAAGATTTAGTCTTTACAACTCAGTGTTTAGTCCACCTTTTCTCTAAAGTTAAAGATCTTTCTAATGGGAAAAACCCACAAGAAATATCAAAGGCAAGTGAACATGAAAGGATATGTGTATTTGGTATCAACTTTCTGAGTGATAACCAAAATGCTCTTATTTGAACAATTTTCCTGCATGTGTTTTCTAATTTGAAATATCTAGGAATTTTCTCCTCGTAAAATAATAACATTATCATCATCACCATCATCTCAGAAAGATGCTTAATTAAATGATGAAAAGTGGTGAAGAGAGTGGTTGGGCCATATGTAATTGAGTCTGTAGCTTAAGAACCAGCCTTTCATATTACTTGAATTTCATATATATTTGTTTCACATGCTAAACTTAAGAAATACATTTACAGTGTTTATAGTTTAGGCCAGTGATTCATATCACCAAGTTAGTTTTGTTTTACTTTACTTAAATACATTAAAGATACCAGCAATTAATTCATTTGTTCTTAGAGGAAAGTGAGTACTTAATGAGTTTTATGTTTTGTCCTTAAACCACTTGGAATACAATGATGAAACCAAATCCATTGACTCATGAGACTGAGCAGTCAGAAAATAGGGAATATAATGTCATATAATCCTATGAAGGAAACATATGAAGATAAAGCTAAAAGAAGAAAATGACAGAAATTTTATGTTATATAGGTAATTAGCACTGATTAGGGGACATCTGAGCATAGGCAAAAACAGATATGGCAGGCAGAAAGCCAAGGGAATAGAGTCTTGGAAAGAGGAAATGTTAATGCAATACCTTGAGACAGAAGAGTGCTTCATGTATTTGTGGGATAGTTAGAAGAGCATAATGGTTACAGCAGAAAGTGTAAGGAAGAGGGAAAGAAGAAATGAAGTCTGAAAGGGAATTCAGGTCCAGATTGTATGGGAGCTTTAGTCTGTTGTGAGAAATTTGGATTTTATTTTGAATGAGTTAGGAAGCTAGGAAGGATTTTAAACAAGGGACTGGCATGGTCTGACTCATTCTGAAAGAGCACATGGCTGCTATGTGGAGAATAAAATGTAGAGGGTAAGAGATGGTAGTGGCATTGATTAGGGGAGTAACACTAGAGGTGGTGATAAATGGTCAGATGATGCATATATTTTGAGACAAGAGCTGGCATAATGTGTTTCTCATAGGTTTCTGTCTTATACTTAGCCTTAATAATGTTTTGTGGTCAGCCAACAGTATGATGTGTGTAGTTCACTGTGGCCAGTTTGTCTGAATCTGGAGAGATGAAACACCCACACAAAACAAGTTACATGAAGTGAGCTTATTACTTATAGGTAGGCATCAGTAGAAAATAGCTTAGGATTTATTGCAAGCTGGTCTTCCAAGGCTCAGAAAAGCTACTCTGGGGAGGAAGGAGTGTTGTGTATATATACTTTACTTGCACCACAGCTGAAGGACTCCTGAGGTTTGTGCCCCAGGGTACCATGATACATTAGGCTAAAGTGTTGAAGGATATCTTTTTTCTAATAGGGATTGAAACAGAGTGCAGGCTGTTCCAGCCAGTTCCTCCCTATCTCAAGATTTTGCATTCTTTCCACATTCTGCAGTTATGCTTGGGAAATACAAGTGAGAAAGAGAGGGGAACTGGGTTGATCAAAGTCTACCCAGAGAATTATCCCATACTATGGCCCACTCTATTTGACAGAATTTATCTAGATTGTGTTTTGACATTTTCCCAATACTTCACATGGTACCAGGTGGCATATTGAAAGTAATAAATATGATAGAATAATAGAGATGACAGGAAGAAACAGAATAGGATCTTTTAAATTAAATCCCTTGTGACTGGAGAAGGTGTATCCAGTTGCTCTAGCCTAGAAAGTCTCTGACTGTGGCTGTCAAGCTTGTCTTTCGTCCTTCTCTAGTGGTACTGGTTGCTGGCAGTGGATCTGTATGGGTCAAGTGTATCTTTCCTTAACCTTGATGTTCAAGGGTTACTAAGAAAGGCTAGTGAGAAATGCAAACAAACAGCTATTTAGAAAGGGCTCTGTTGGGAAGAGGACCTGCTGAACTTCCAGATGGAGGTCATCTCTCCACATCTGCACTCATCACTGTGGAGGCAGCTGCTCTCACTGACATATCAGACTCCTAAAGGGATGTTTGTCCTTGATAGTGAATGTTCCAGTTCTCAGGTTCAGAAGGTCCTGAAGTTTAAGTGCTGGAAAGTATGTTAGAGGCATTTTATCTGATGGATAAGAAAACTAAGGCATAAATGTCAAATATAATAACCTTCTATCACCACACAGTAGAATAGAGACAGAGGTGACACCAGTTTATAGCTTCAGTGGCATAGGTGGCCAATTCTTTCAGGAGTCATTCTGAATTTTTACATATTTAATTAAGCAAGAGTTGCAAATTGAAAGTCTTTGGGACTGAATAACACCTTTGACACAGAACCTGTCATTATTCTTGAAGGATTGTAATTCCTAACATTGATAAGAACAGCTTCTTCCCTCTATTTTTGTCAGGTGTCTGAAAATGTAGTCCCACTGTTGTTGCTGTCTTGTTTTATTTGGAGACAGTGTCTTGCTCTGGCTCAGGCTGGAGTGCAGTGGTGTGATTCCAGCTCACTGCAGCCTTCGCCTCCTGGGCTTAAGCGATGCTCCCACCTCAACTTTGTGAGTAGCTGGGTCTATAGGTGTGTGCCACCACACCCAGCTAATTTTTCTACTTTTTGTAGATGCTTCCTCCATGCTGCCCGGCTGGTCTGGAATTCCTGAGCTCAAGTGATTGGCCCACCTAGGCCTCCCAAAGTTGTGGTATTACAGGTGTAAGCCACAGCACCCAGCCTTATTTTTTATTTTCATTTTTTGTAAAAATTTTCTTGCAGAAAATTTTAGCAGAATTATAAGAATAGCTCAAAAGAAATCACAATATTAAAAAAACTTTCACAATCCTAAAGAAATGTACAAAAATTCCCCAGAAAATTATTATTAAACATTTACATGTCATTCAATTTTTTATGGAGAATAAGAATGTGAAATGTGTACACATTGGAAATCATTGGGTAAGAAATTTTTGCTAGCTAATTTCTTGTCTCAACTGTGAGAAGTAAAACACATATCAGTATAATTTTTCCAAACTCTGTAAGAATACTTTATCATACAGACCAGAACATCTACCTACCAATAAAACTTTTTAACAGGCTACTTTTTTCCAATATACTGTTAAGACAAATATTATCTTAAGCATTTTTTTTGGTTTTGTTTTTTTGTTTTAAATTTATGGTCACTCTGAATTTTCAGGGTCATTGTATACTTTCATGAGGTAACATGAGGTAACATGTTATATGAAGCTCAAATGGGACTTTCAACCATAAGTTTTAAAATTTGTTTCTTTAACTCATATTTGCAAACTACCAATAATGCTGTTTTGTCTTGCTTTTGTGCATTTGTAAATGTTTTATATTTGAAATTATGCTGATAGATCAATTAATTTCAAAAATTACATATTCAAATAAGATCAATAACAACTTTTTTTTTTTTGCCACCTACAGATTTATTAAACTTTATTTCCTCTGAGTCTCTGGACAGTCAGCAGCGATGTAAGGCGAAGTGGCAATAGCTGAAGGGGCCTGAGCAGAGCTGGTGCTGGGAGGGGCCGACATGGACAGGAAGAGGAAGAGATTTAAATATCCAGGGCTGAAAGCCAGTTAATGGGTCTCCTTCATCTGTTTTTGTATTTTGTGTAGCATCTCCTGCATCCGCCACAGCTGGAATAGGCATAGGCATCAAAATGGGCCTTTTCAGAGAGTCCTTTAGTACTGGGGAAGTGCCCCAAATTTCTAATCCCTTAAGCCAGGACCTTGTAGCCCTGAGGTATGATGGAGACCCTGGACAGAACCACCTATTGACCTATCCAGGACCCAAATAGGCAGCAGAGCCAGGGATCTTTCTATTACCAAACCAAGAGATACCAATGTTGATGATAGAACAGAGGACCTCCTCTATACCCCATACTGCTCTCACTTCCTCACCTTTCTCTCGGATAAGCTTCTCAGTTTCTGGATCTGTCCCTAGTGGGACAGCAGGGATGGGGAAGTCAGTACCACTCTCTCGAGTCAGTTTGCTAAGAGGAGAGAAGGGTTGGTAAGGTTAGGAGGACCCCAGTACCCACTTAGATTGGGCCTATAGAAGAGCAAAAGAAAGGTTTGGTCTCACCCAAGGCTAGGCTTGGGATCCCCCCTGCCACCTTTGTCCTGGCTTCTGGTCATACTTGCAATTCCATTCCTTCACCACCAGGCGGGTAATGCTCTGGATGCACTGTGCCCGGTAGTTCTCATAATGTGTCTCCCGGGTCACATCCTTCAGGTCCTGCATGTGGGTATGCACCAGCATCGTCCTCAGCTTCACAAAGTTACAGTGCCCTGGGTTTTCCACTGCATAGCAAGGCTAGGGGTCAGCCAGAGGCATAGGTAGGGGAGAGCCACTGAGGGGCAAGGAGATACCTGGTCAGAAGCTCAGTGCTTTATCTTCCATGATGCCCCAGGGGTAGAGTTGACCCAGAACTCGCCGCCCTCTGGCCTCTACTACAGTGTTGCTGCCAATGACTGCAAATGGGATGCTTTCCTGGAAGAGGTTAGGGGTGCCTGTCAACACTCTCTGTTCTCACCTGTTTCTTTCCACCTATATCGTCATCTTCTCTGCCTCACTCTAGGAAGCTAGGGTCCTTTCCCACCCTGATAGCCCAAATATAGAAATCTACTCCCGTTTTCCACCCAGAAGAAACAAGATGGGAAGGGGATGCCCTAGAGTGGCCCCACCTTTAGGGCTTGATCCTGTGATTTGAAATCCTCATCCTCATCAGAGTCATAGTCTGGGAATTGATAGATCTTGATTCCAAAGCGGTCAATCTCCTCCCGGATCTGGCAAACAGATGAAGGGCCCACAGTTCTGGGGACCACATCCTTTCTAGAAACCCACCTGATCCCCTCCCATCACCAGCTTTCCTCACTTTGCGTTTCTTGCAGTCCACTTCAGGAGGTGTCTGTGTGTCTGCCTTAGCCAGGATAGGCACGATGTTGACCCGCTGATGCAGGGCCTTCATGAATTCAACATCCAATGGCCAGAGCCTGGAGAACAGGAATCTATGACCACCTTCTAGTGGCAGCCCTGCCCCTGGGCTCTTGGCCTGTTCCCTAGACAGCACCCGGTGGTGCCAGGAGCCTCAGGCTTGGACCATACCCGTGGCCGAAGGGTGAGATGAAGTACAGGCAGCAGTGCACCCTGTCATCTTGGATGTTCTTTCGGTTCAGGCCACTCTCATCTCGGAAATACTGCTCAAACTGCTGATCAATGTATTCTGCCACAGGCTTCCAGCACTCTGTATTGTTGACTGCATCCCCAAAACCTGGTGCGTCCACAATGGTGAGCCGCAGCCTTACACCCTTCTATTCTATGTCCACTACATGCTTAGTGATCTCCACGGTTTACATGATCCGCTCTTCAGCACCAAGGAGTTTCCAATCCCGGTTCAGATCAGTGAGGAAGAGGCTATTGACAAGTGTAGATTTGCCCAGGCCAGACTCTCCTGCCAACAGGAGAGTAAAGTCAAAACCTTTCTTCACGGACTTTCAGTGGACTTGGTTGGGGAGGGTTGCAAAGCCCACATACTCCTTGTCATCTTGCTCAGTTCTCCATCATCTGTGGTGTCCTCCACAAAATGCTAGATCATGGCTGCAGCCTGGGCAGGGCTGGCTCCTCCTGGACAGCGCCCGAGCAACCCACGGCGAGAGCTGCTCACCGACCTCGCAGCAACACCGTCCCCCGCCCGCCTCCCCGAGTCAATGACAACATTTATAAAAAAGATCAGGGAGTGGAATGAACAGAAAGAGGAGCTGCAGGACATGGGAAAGAAAGTCCTGGAAGTATAGGATAAGAATTTACAAATGTTTGTTTCCTGTGGAGAACTCCCAGGCTAACTGTTGTGTTGCTGCTTATGTTCTGTCTTAGTCATCCTGTAAATAATGATCCTATAAGATAATATGTCTTAATAACATTAGAAATTATAAACGTTATTACTAACATTAATTAATGCATGCTAATAGCTACTTCTATAAAACATATACTATGTTAAGTACATTGCATCTATTTTATTTGTTAATAATTCAAATTTTGATGCTTTATCTTAAAGATATAGAAACTGAGGCTCAAAGATATTAAGTATCCTCTTCAAAATGGCTAAATGATGAAGCAGGTTTTCAAACCCAAGACTGACTCTAGTGTCTTTGTTTTTTCTTCCTAAGCTATGGGTTCCAATCAAGTCTAAGTAGAAAAGAAGCTGTTCTTTAAAAAGCTGAATATTCAGCACTTAGTCATACAATTTAATAGAATTGCTAACAGTAAAACTATGACTTTCCTAGGCATATTCCTGAAACTTACTCTTTTGTGAGGAAAAGTGCGTTTTTCCTTGTTGTTACATTAAACTCAGTTCTCACCTTTGTCTGTAGGAGAAATAACTTACACCCTCAGATTTCCTCCCTTGACTTTTCTTCTTGAAAGTGGAACCATTTAATTCCTGTTTCACATTTCTAGCATAACTGCAATAAAGGTCTTTAGCTCAGAAAGGCTGTCTCCACTGTGGGGAATCAGACATTTGGTAGAATTGCCCCCCAAGTTTAGAGAATCTATGAAATGTGATTGATATTTAAGGGCAGAAGATGATATTTTCCTCTGACTCTATGTGATCCACAAGTCATGCAATGATGCTTAAGATTTTATCTTCAAAATTTTAAATGTTATTTCTTAAAACTCTTAAAGATAAAACACTGACTTAAGCCAAGTTTGCCCTTCATGAATATTGATAATCTAGTAAGCTGTATTTCATCTAAGGAGAAAGAGTGTACAGAGATGCCAAGCAGTAATGAAGGGGTAAAAGCACATTGAGGTACTTTTGGAAATGCCAAAGATAAATTTATCCACCAAACATTTTTCTTTCTAGCTGCTCAGCAAGAAATGGTCCTGCTGAGGAGAATCTGGCTTGTTATCATCAGCAAAAGCCAGGTGTGGAGGAATGTGGTCTCCCCATCAAATGATGATAGACCAGGTTGCGCTGCATGAATGGGGGCCTCCTCAGCCGAGCATAACATTTGGCACGCTGGATTCACATCAACTCTGTTTTAAATTCTACTCCACTCATTTACACCGCATCTAGGGATGTGCTTGCTTGCCAATCCCAAACACAATAGCAAGTACTTTTCCCAGCGGCAATTTATAAAAATAATTCAGATGAAAGACTGCTCTCAGAATTGTTAATGAAGTTAGACACAGGAAATGCCAGGTTTTCTTTTGTACAAACTCACATTCTTTTTCCAATTGCCAGAAAGCTTTGCTCCAAAGATTTGCTCCAAATTTCTTGTGCCTAAACTATATAAAATTAAAGACTAATTATTAGTGCACCATAGTCTTGTAGTTTAGACTCCATTTTTTTCAAAATTTTGTGCATGATTTACAACTTTAAAAATGAATTTCAGTAGACAAATATTGAACCAAGATACAATTGTAGAACTGTGATATTTTTCTTTGATATTTTACAGGCTTATTTCATTTCTTCTATTATCTGCTAATACTAGGAGCTCATTAACCTAAACCTAATTGGTCGTTATGTGTTCAGACTCTGCCTTCTCTTCCAGTATTCCTTTGATTACATTCTAATGCAGATGTTGAAACAAATCAATAAATGAGATATAATGGCAAAAGTGCTGTGAATGAAAATACAGCAGAGAGGAAGAACATGGGGTACCAGTGGGAGAAAGGGGATTGTCATTGGTTGTAGTGTTGGTTAGAAAAATATTTAAATAGAGTCAGAGAATGCTGCACTGACAAAGTGACATTAGTACAAATACCTGAAGAAAATGAGTAAGTGAGGCATTTGAATATATGGGAATAAATATTCCAGGCCAACACCAAAGTAAATACGAAGGACTATATGGAAGAGATTTTAGTGCATTTGAGAAACCATATGAAAACTAGTGGCGATAATGCAGAGTTGGAAATGTGAGAAGTAGTAACACGCGCAGCTTGATTGTTAGGACCTTGTTATAGGCCATTATGAGGCCTTTACCTCTTACTCTGAGAGAGATGCATGTCTCTGTAGAGTTTTGAATAACATTATCTAATTTACATTTCAAGAGGATGATTTTGGCTTCTGTATGGAAAATAGACCTGAGGATAACAAGGTTGAAGAAGAAAAACTTTTTAGGAGGTTATGATTTAGATCAAGGTGTGGTTGACAAAAATGGAGATGAATGGTGAGATTATGGATAGAGTTTGAAGGTAGAGCCAACATAGTTTCCTTATTGATTAGACGTAGAGTATCGGAAAGAGTGATATGTCAAGGAGATCTCCGAAGTCTTTTGTTCTGAGAATTGGGAAATGGGAAGATAGAGTTACCTAATACTAAGTTGTAGAAGAATGATTTGGAATGGAGATCTGAGCCAGATATCAGTTATTTAATTTTGGATGGATTAGGTTTGCAATGCCAAATAAATACAAGGGGATAATTAGGCAGTTGCATTCACAAGTCTGGAGACCACAGGTGATGCTCAGACTGGAAATGGAAATTTTGGGTATTTCCATAAATAGATCTCATTTGTAATCATTAGAGTAGATATAATCAGCAAGGAAATGACCATAGAAAAAGGAAAAAAATTACAAAAACTAGGAGTTACAACCATTAAATATAGGAGTAATAAGGAAAACTCAATGGAAAATAAATTGATAATGAAGGAGATATAGTAGAGGAGAGGCTGGGGTGGTAAGTGTTAATGGAATGCCTCTTCTGATGGCTCTTATTTTTCCAGTGAAAACAAAATGCCACCAGCTTGTCATGTATTATGTGTATTGTACTACACACGAAAATTTTTAAAAGTTGTACGGGGAATGGATGGTTTATCGGCTGAGAATAAAAACTGAACGGACGTGATGGAAATTTGAGAAGAGAGAAAGTCTGAAGGTGTTGTCTAGGAGAGTTAGGAATGATTGCACCATCAAAATGTAGTAAGATTGTTGGCACTAAGATCCTATCTGAGATTCATAGCAATGAAATAGGTCTAATATTAAACCTGTTTGCTCTGTTATGCTGTGTAGTTACAGGTACAATGTCAGCAAAGAACTGAATTCAGTTAGACAATAGTTTTGACCAAGAAAAAATTATTTAAAAAGTATCATGACCATGTGATTTGCATGGCCAAAGAATTAAGAGCAATTTGACTTCTGGGCAGAAGCCTTTATAAACCAATTCTCTATGCTCTGTTTCCTTGGGGTAGCAAAACCTGAAGTCATGTTGAAAAAATGACATGCTACAAGATATAATATCCTAGAATGGTGAACTGCAACCTCCACCTCCCAGGTTCAAATGATTCTCCTGCCTCAGCCTCCTGAGTAGCTGGGATCACAGGTGTGCGCCACAGGCCTGGCTAATTTTTGTATTTTTAGTAGTGACAGGGTTTCACCGTGTTGGTCAGGCTGGTCTCAAACTCCTGACCTTGTGATCCGCTCACTTCAGTCTCTCGAAGTGCTAGGATTACAGATGTGAGCCACAGTGCCCAGCCACAATTGCATACCTTTTATGTGAGACAGTTATTTATAGGCTTCTTGTGTTTCTGCATGTCTTTCAAGCAAAGGAAATAAATGTTTTTGTTCTTAACTATTTTTCCAAAGATGCTTCCATGTAGACTGTCCATGGAAGACACAGATGATCTCTTTCTTTATAGCAAAAGGCATGTTTGTGTGCAGTTTTTGATGATAGAGATATAATCTCCCTTCATGGCAAAGTTACAGCATGTTTACTATTCATTATAAAACATCCATGATCCTTGACTTTAATATTCCTCTCTGGTAATATAACCCACTTTATAGGCACCTATTATTTGTCTTTTCATGTAGCCCTATAGGAATTAGGGCCAAATGAACCAGCACAAGAAAACGTTAATACTCTGACTATTGCTA